TGAATCACAGCAGAAGCAACGAGTGTAATAGGAATGGTCACAGCTTCTGCTCAGAAAGCTCCAGACTGTTGTTCAGAAAGGGCAGAAATCCCATGTCACCTCAATGCATAGGTACTTCTGTTAGAAAAACCTGCAAACACTAGGACCACTCAATATGGTGGGGAAAAAAAAACACCCACAAACAAACAAAGATGAGTTACTAGGAGTCAAGACTGTGCCTTATCTAACTGGGAAACGCTGTTCATGCGTGAAGATATTTAGTCATTACTGCATGGTTGTTTCCCCATCTCTTACTATCCTATCAGTGTAAGATGGTCTTCTGCAAGGTCTTCAGTAAAATTCAAATAATTGGGCTCCATTACTCAGGTAGGAACCCATGCAAACAGCAACAGTTTTAACACGAAAGTCAGATTGGATGGGAGCTAGTATTTAAAAACAAACACAAGTCAGCAGCTGTGGCATGCTGGCAACAGGGCAGTATCAACAAGCACCGGGGTTTGTGCTGTGGTAATAAATAGGTAGGGCTGATAACATCTGTAATAATAGGAAAGGCTCCTGCTGGTGCAGGACTGCTGCTCTGGGACCCCATTTTGGCTATTTCTGTGTGGCAGTATTGGCCAAAGGGATCTATCTGCTTTTAGAGAATGTAAAGAGATCAAGCACAGGGAAGGACAGGCTTAGACAAACTGGATACATGGCAACTTCAGAACTATGTGTGTCCTTCTGCCCATCACCTTTCTTCCTGTGCTGTTCCACAGTGCACACCTGTCATTTTTGTTTATTTGAGCAATTTTCTCTGCCAACCACAATATATAACTGGAAAATTGCCATCTGCCTTCCTTACTGCTTAGAGAAAAACACCTTTGCCATTTGCCACCTGCCAGGCAGGCTGTCCCTCTCCAAAATCTTTATGACTGTTTTAGGTTTAACAGCTGTATGACAGTGACATGCACCCAACCTAACTTTCTGCTGAAGTTTGCTGCTATCAGCAACCAAACAGTTCCAATATGAAGTGTAAGCTGGACAACATAATACATGTAAATCATGTAGACAGGGCTTCCTTACTCAACAGCCTTTGTAATGATTCAGTTACTCCCTTTCAAATCAACTTTATTTTCTACATCTGAGACTAAAGATGCAGTGATAACCAGATCATAATAGAATTAGTTGCATCTGCTTTTTCCTGCTATAAACAATTGGCAATGGGGATGCTAACTGGACAGCTAATTAAATGGCAAAGTAAAACAATTCACCTCCAACAATGTTTCTCCTGTTTCTAAGTAGTTTTTAATGCATCACCTCAAAAATGCTTATGGCTATTTTTTTAATCAACTTAATATAATCATCCTCATGACCATGACAAATGAATCCATAATTAAAAGAAAACTGTTTTGGTGAGTTTCTCTTATAGCTAAATTTTGCACCTCTGGTTTTAATGTGCCCAAACCCACTTGGGTCTATCTGGTGGAACTCCTTAAAGCAGATTACTTTTAATATCAGGGATAGTTTCCCAACTGCCACATAGAGAGAATGTGAAAGTCACAAAACTGCAGCTTTTCTTCTTAGAGACTTCAATTTATCTGCTTCAGTGCATAAATTTGTATGTAAGATGTGTCAGAGCGTGAATTGGTCTCCACATTACTTTCTTTGAAGACTTACCTTCAAAACAGAAACCACAAAAGTGGCTAACAAGTGGCTTTAATTGCCTAGAGGAAATCTGGTATTCCAAGTGTAGGATAATTTTCCAGTGTGCTAAGGATAGAGTTGTCTGCTTTTATATCACTGACCATAATGCCTTGCTGGAAAACACTTTGTATGCTGGGCCATTATACAGCTAATGATAACTAAAACGACTGGAACTGCCAAATTCTGCCTGTTTTTCAGCTGAGATCCCAAACCTCTGACTTGCATACTCCTAGATATAGCTGAAGTGTTCTTATGTCTCATGAAAAATTTTTCACTCTTCTCATTACCTCAGTTGAAACTTGTGATGAGTTCTCATCATTGAGAGACCTGAAGTTAACTATTTGGCATGACTGCTGCATCACTTAAGTGCATATTTAAGTACTGGTATACTTAAGCATACCAACACAGGGCTGCAATACATGGATGTAATATTTGGGAATGTCACACTGACCCATATGCACAGTCAAAATCTGAAATTTTTGAAGAAAAGAACTGGAGGGAGGTAGCATCCCAAAAGGGAAACCCCAAGACTGTATGCATCTGGCTTTGGCCCTCTGCAAGATGCATTATCTGAACACAATCTACATATTCATAGATACATACAAAGAAAATTAATATGCAGACATTGCACGTTGAGTGTCTGACAAGCCAACTGCATCTACCAAACTTGGAGGCTTCTTTGTCTATCTGCCTTCCACTTCGCAGGGTGGAGGAAGTCTCAGGGTGCTCTCAAGTTGGCCATGGTTCTCCAACACTGTTGTATGAAGGTATTTCTGTCTTCTGCTGACTGTGGGCTTATAGCCAGAGAATGAACAAGACTCTACTGACATTGAATGCCAGTCTGCCAGGGGAAGCAACAAATAGCTTTTGTTGAGCTTTGCAATGAGATGATAAAACTACAGTGCAGTTAGTAATGCTTGTACTAATGAGGTACTTCCATCCTTATAAGTGACACAAAGGCCCTTGTGATGTTTGTGAGCTTGTTCCCAAAGGATCCATCAGGTGGAGGTGCTCTCAAGGTTATACTTACATTTTTACCTTCAAGTTCTCAAACCATCTGGCCCACCTCCTTATGTTAATAGTGTCCTGCTTGGCAGGAGGTTTGGGCTGCTTTACAATGGGAAGATGAAACTCAAGGGACTTTCAGAGAATTGCAAAAAATGGCTTAAATTAGTAACAAAGCATTAGTCCATCCCCCAGATTAGTTTGAGAACAACAGAGTAATGCATACAGGGCCTTGGATTATTTAGTGAGAGAAGTTTAAAAAAACAGTTAAACAATTAACAAATGTTGAAATCGATCAAAGTTTTCAAGCCATCATAACATGAAAACAATTGCTGCTATTCCCCAAATGCTCCCCAAAGCACTTTGCTCACAGCAGAACAGCCACTCAAATTTTCACATGGATTGATTCCCCTTGCAGTGATCTTGAAGAAGAGCAGAAGTACAGATAAGCTCAAAGATTCAAGAATGCAAATGGAGAAAATAAAAGTAAATGACTTTAAATCTCTGGGATGAGCAGTCAAGAACTTTGGTTGATTGTAGGAAGAGTCTGGATGGAGCTTAGTGAAGAGCATGTGGAAGCGTGCAGATTTGGAGCTCTAACATTGCGTCAGGTGCAGCTCAATCAGAAGCTCATATTCTAAAAGAAAGCTACTTCTTAGAATTGGTTGGATTTTTTTGGTTGAAAGTATATTTTCCAGTAATGTTTGTTACTTTTGTTCAAATTAGCATGCTTAGGAAGATACTAATTTTGATGAAAGCTTCATTTTAAATATCATACATTCTGATATAGCTGAAAAGTCCAATTTTAACTTCCAAGCAATGACATCTTTGCTTTCCTACAGACATTGCTTCGTTGAACAATGCTTAGTTTTCAGTAAAAATTTCATTTGACAGTAATATTTTCCTTTTTTTAAGTTCTAAGCTATAAATCCATCCCATTGGTACAAAATACCTCAGCTGACAGTGATGATTCAATTACTACTTCTCCTTCCAAAATTTGGGTTAGCCAAAGAAATTTCACTTTTTGAATTTCAAGGGGACAAAATTTTGGAATGATGCAGTATTCAACAGAATGAAACAATCCAGCTTTACTAGTGCTGATCTTGATCACAGAAGAGGAGCTGCCTTTGTGCACTGCAGTACCTCCCAAAGCCACCATAAACCCCTGCAATGTGTGCTGTAACACCACAGTGCCCCTTTCATCCTTTGTGAAAAGAGTGCTTACTGGCTCATCTGTTGACAAACTTGTTGTCCCTATGGTTGGTTCCCGTTTATCCTCTGGGAGGTTGTAAGACTTGCTCTGGAGGTTTAAAAAACACAATATATAAGACACTCATGAACCTATGATTGCAAAATACGAGCTGAAAACCTCTATTAAGAACTGAATGTTTTCAGGCTGTGCCAGAAGTGGTTCTTTGATATAGCTGCAGGTACTTCTCCAAGACAACCTGAAATTTCATGGGGACAAATGATGAGGAGGGAAGAAACAGAATGTTTTCTATTGATACATACTGTTAAATTGCAGATTTAGGGCAATCAAAGAGATTGACACACAGCTGAATGAATTGTAGTTCATTCATGAAATTTTAAGTGAAGCTGAAACCCCCCCAATTTCATCAGTACAAGCTACTTCATTTTCAGAAGGTCCCATCATTCACTGCTTGCCCCCAAACACACAGCTATCACTCAGGCTATTTTGAGGTTAAATGTCATTATTAGATATTTACTATTAAGCACCAAAACATTGGCCAAAATTGTCTCAGCCTCATATGATATGATTCAGTGTAGTAACCTGGATTTTCATCAGACCTGTCTGCAAGCATCATGCTTTGAGATTACTCCTGTCTCTACTGTTCAGTGATAAAACTGGCTGAATTTGGCCTCTGGAATGGAAAGCTTTTCATAGACCTTTAGGGAATTGTTTAGTGTTTAGAAGGTTCCAACACAAATTTGCTAATCTAACTCAATTTAGATGTCTCATGACATTCAATGCATCGCTTCTTTTTCTCAAGGTGCTTGCTTCCCTTTTTAACTATGCCATTAACAGTGCTAAAACAAGCAGAAGCTGTGTTACTGCAATCATTTTATAATTCACATATTGCGAAGAAGTGGATGTTACCAGCTACATACATACAATTTTTCTGCCCACACTTTAAATAAACTTTGAATTTAAATCTTCATTTGCAGCTGTATTAATGCAATTTAAAGTGAAAGGGGACAAAAAAACCAACTAAACAAACAAACAAACAAACAAAAAACACAGGAAATTATTGTCCAAATTAAACTATCCAAATTAAAAAAGTACTTACATGTGAACTACCCATTTTTGCTTAGCCTGAGTGTGGAAGACACAATTCTTCTTCTCTTCAATAACACAAGCATTCAAATGAAATAGCCAACTCTTCATAGAGCTGCTATGTTCTACCCAGCCCTGGGTTAATCAATAACTTTGGACTTATTTAAATTCTAGTCATTTCAAGGTGGGGTGTATTCATCATTACACGGTAGCTTTATTATCCCTGCAATCTAATAGCACATCCTGTTGGATCATGGAGTTGGCTGGTTTTGCCAGAGAAAATAAGGATTTCATAATATGAACCCTAAGGTTATACATACAACCTTTTATCTAATTGTTATTACAGTAATTTAAAACACTTAACTACAGTAGTGCCTAACATAAAGTTTCCAATCATCTTAGAAGGAAGGATGCTGTTTCAAAAAGTTAATATTTGATTGTATGGGACTGTGTTGTATTTATTACGTCATTGAAGATTCACAGCTCCCACAGAATACATCAAACAGAATCTCACAGCACTAGGTTTATGTAGCAAGGTTTTGGCAGTGGGGAGAAGGGGCTGTGGGGATGGCCTCCGGAGAAGAGTCTAAGGATTGTCCTTGTAGGCAGTGCCAGTTCCAATTTGCCCTGGCCAAAGCTGAGCCAGTCCATGAAGCTGACAGCATCTCTGTGGCATGTATTTAAGGAAGTATAAAAAAACACAGCAGCAGCTGTGTGAGAGAAAACTGTGAGAGAAACAACCCTGCAGCCAAAAGGTCAGTGCAGACAGAGGGCAGGAGGTGTTCCAGGTTTGGAGAAGTCCCCTGGTGCCCAGAAGAGCCCCATGATGGGGCAGGCTGTCCCCCTGCAGCCCATGGGCACATCTCCACATGCAGCCATGGAGGAGCCCGCAGTGAGGCAGTGGATGTGACCGGAAGGAGGCTGCCTGTGGGGCCTCTGCTGGAGCAGTGCAGTCCTGAGGGATAGACCTGTGGTATGGACCCATGCTGCAGCAGAGCATGAGGAGCTGCAGAATGGGAAAGTTCACTCATCACACTGCCTTAGAGACCAGGAAGGATAGCCAGAGAGAAAACTAAGAGAAGAAAACAAGCACACGTGAATTTGGGAAAAGAGTCTGATTGATTAGCTAGACAGTAAGCAGAAGGAAATCAGTGGGTTACAAAAATGCAGTAATAATTCTAGCTTTGAGAATATTCAACATCTATTTAACATGTCCATTTATTCTGAAGACACCAGTGTGTGTTTGGCATGCAGTTCCTGCAGAGACCTTGGTAAGTTTCAAACACTTAAAAATGAATGATCGGGTTTGATTGTGGTGTTCTAACACAAGATGTAAAAATCAAATGTGAGAATGAGGAGTTTTCTCCAGAATTCAGTGCCTTGTGGTGGTCATCCTGTCTTAGACATCTTTAATACTATTACTGAACTAGGAACCATCCACTTCTTCCATGATTTTTTAGGGAATAAAGATGATCCAACAGACATTAAAGGAAATTGAAGTTGGAGAAAAAACAACCGTAGGGTTTCTCTGGAATCTGCTAGGTTGGTGGGCACCCATAGATTCCAATACAAGCTGATAATCCTAATGCTCTTACTGACTGTGAGAGAAATATAGCATCCCAGCAGGTAAAATAGAGGGCAGCTCATTAAGGATTTAAACCTAACAGTAGATTAATACATACTATGCCATGCTGTGCATGCACATGGTCTATCTGAATACATAAATCAGGGCATCAGTAATGAAATGTGGAACTAACTTACTGCAAGGAATCACAGAATTCACAAGGGTTGGAAGGGACTTCAAGAGATCACTGAGTCCAACCCCCCTGCTAAAGCAGGTTCCCTACAATAGGTTGCACAGGTAGGCGCCCAGACAAGAAAAAGCATAGACAGAAAAAGCAAAAAAGATCTGTAATAAGGAAAATAAGCAGATAACTTTTGAAAAAACAGTGAACTGAGAAGGTAAATCTCAAGATTTACTGTGTATAACTACTGTGTAAAACTAAAAGAGACTAAATTAAAAGAAGTACAGTAGGAAAACATATGTGTACCAGTAATGCTGTGACAGGTACTTTTAACCAAATCAAACTTCAAAAAACACTAAGCCATAACTGAGGCTTCATGCAGATGCAGAGAACAAGAAGACAGGAATCAATTTAGAAAGCAAACTGATAGAATGAATTATGAACAGTTAGATACATCAAAGGCAAAAAGATGGTCTAAACAAACCTAAGAAATAGGAGTCAAATAAAGGTAAGTATAGATTACACAACATGGAAGAAGAAACAAAAGGATGATGCACTGCAGGCTTAAGTGTTAGATTTCTGCTTGTTCTCACAAAGGAAGACTGTACCTACCAAATGTTTCTTCCTAATTTTCTTGGTTTTGCTTCCCTTTTGCCAGTGCTATCATTGAAAAGTCTGAGTTAGCTGATAGGAATATAATGGAAACTACCACGCTATCAAATATGTTCTTTTTAATTTTTTTATTGCATACATTAATGTTATACTGACTACCAGAATTTTTAGCTTGTGAATTTTTGTACCTGATTTAATAAAATAGTTACTATGTCCTGGTGCCACTAACAAGAGAATTCACTTCAGAACCATCCATGAAAAAATCATCCTGCCCTTTTGTGGGCTGTGTCCAATTACCAATATCAAAAACAAACAGACAGTACCAGCCAAAGTCCTGCACCACCTGGTTTATGTAGCAGTGAGCAAGAAAAAGTGGCTTTGTGTTAGTATCTCTTCATAGTTCATTTATAAACCAGCGTTGGGTGTGACAGAGGGTGAAACCTGAGAACTGTGATTTGAAGGATGAGGTCAGTTCCACAGGCTATGACTGCTCTCCTGGACTAAATTACTGAAGAGCTCATCTCACCACCTCCCCAGCTGCTGAGATCTCTGTGGGCAGCACACAGCACGTGTGTTGCCTGCGGCAATGTGTCTCTGCACTCACACACAAGTCAGATCCCCGAGACACTAGTGACATCAAAGATGCAGAAATGGGTCTGTAGTTCATTGACACTGACTCAAAGGTAACAGAGCACTGAGTTGCTCTCCGTTTTGGTCCCCTTTCACCTGTCACCATGGCCTGAAGGTTCCTACCAAGCTTTCCATTGTTTTTACTTATTTATCAAATAATCTACTAAAACATTGCATAGCGTTCTTGAAACAGTTCTTCCCCATTTGTAATTTGCTGACAGTAAGAAAATGCTTTTGCACAGGAAGTTGCCACTGATTTTGACTGATAACATTCAGCATGACTGATAAAAACTTAACTGCTAAGAGAAGGCACTCCCTGACCACACCAACCCGCTGGCTCAATGCCCAGCAGGATGTTGCAGCAGGCACTCAGGTCCGCAGGTTTTCATGCCCAGGCTTTGCAGACCCTACAAAATCAGCTGAAATAACCCAGGGCAAGAAGAAGCATTCCTGCTTGTTCCACATCACGAAACGCTTCTTTCTGCTCCAGATTCTGCCCTGACGTTAAGCAGTCACCAGCATTGGCGCAGAGGGACGGCAGGCGGTTGCCAGGGGAAGGAGGGAGGGAAGGAGGGACGGAAAGAAGAAAAGAAAGGAACCCGTGCAGGAGCCCGCACAACTCCGCACCTCTTCTCAAACACCGCACATGCGCAGCTCCTTCGTGTCCACCGGAAGTGACGCGTGATCACTTCCGGGGCCGTGACGCGGAAGCGGCAGCGGGCGAGCAAGAAGAGGCAGTGGCGGTGGCGGCGAGGGTTAAGAGCAGAGGGGCCCCGGGGCTGGAGCGCCCCCCCGGTGGTGGGGCTGTGCGGTGCGCTCGGCTCCCCTCGCCATGAACATCGACGTGGAATTCCACATCCGCCACAACTACCTCTGGGCCCGGTTGCCAGCCAGCGTGAAGCAGGTAGCGCCGGGCGGGCAGCCTCGGCTCCTGGGCGCGGGCAGCGATGCGCGGGGAGAGGTGGCGGCTCGGCACTGCCCTGCTCTGCCAACCACGGGTGGGCGGGCGACCTGGGCTCTCCTGTGGAGAAGGGAATGTGGGGTTCTGCTGGAGGGTTGGGGTGTTTATGTGGGGAGAACAGCGTGCAGGGGTTGTTTGGGGGTTATGTGTGGAGGGGGGTGCATAGGAGTGTTGTGGTACCTACCGGGTGGGGCGGCTGTTGGGCAGATTGGGATCTCTGTGTGCAGACAGAAAGATGTGAGCATCTGTATATCCTTTCTTGGGGGCAAGCTGATCCAGCCCGGTGCCATCAGAGAGCGGTGCTGCTCTGTGCTCAGAGAGCTGTGCACTGTGTGGCCCGGGGAAAAAAAAACAGGTCATGAAAGTTTGATGTGCTGGGTTTCGCAGGGCCCTCACAGCAGCGCGCAGGTAGTGTGTCAGGCCAAGAGGAAGGTGTCCATCTCTGCTCCAAAGCCAAATTCTGTTTGAAGTGGGTGGGATGGAAAGCAACTCCTGCTCTTGCACAAAGGATGGAGAGGAAGAGTAGTGACTGCAGGCCCTGAATAGTTAACTCCATTGAGTGTCAGGTAGTTCCTCTTACAGAGGAATGTGAATGTTGCATTACATTTACTTGCCCAGCAAAGTGCCATGCTATGTGATTAAGGTGGAAAATACATCATTGTATAATGTGTTATTTTATTTAAAGTAGCTTCTGGGATTCTGTTGTATTTAGTTTTAGAGTAGCCCTTAATATTTTTGTACCAGGAGAAAATACTTCAAAGTTAAGTCAGTTATGGATCCTGTGTGTGAGTGTATTTCTCTTCTCTGATGCTTAGTTCTGCAGTGCATGGGTACTGTGCTTGTTTGTCGTGTATATTCACAGAATTGCAGAGTTTGGAAGGTAGCTCTGGAGGTCTTCTTGTCCAACCCCCCTGCTACAGCACATTCTGTACAGTAGGTTACACAGGAAAGCATCCAGATGGGTCTTGAATTTCTCCAAAGAAGGAGACTCCACAGCCTCTCTCAGCAGTTTGTTCCAGTGCTCTGTACCCTTACAATAAAGAAGTTCTTCCTCATATTTATATGGAACTTCCTGTGTTGCAGTTTTTGACTGTTGCCCTTTATTCTGTCACTGCGCACCGCTGAAAAGAGCCTGGTTCCACCTACTTGATTCCCACACTTGAGATATTTATTAGCAGTGATAGGATTCCTTCTCAGTCTTCTCTTCTTTGAGCTGAACAGATTCAGGTCTCAGCCTCTCTTTAAATGGGAGATGCTCCCAGCCTCTAATAATCTTTGTGGCCCTCCACTGGACTCTCTTCAGCAGTTCCCTATCTTGAACAGGGGAGCACAGGACACAATATTCCAGATGTAGCCTCATCAGGGCAGAGTAGAAGGGATCCCCTATATTCAGTAAAGTACTTTTCAATCTAAGTGTATTTTGTAACATGGGCATCAAGTGAGGGAACCAGGCGAAGAAAACCTGCTCACTTTCTAGTTGAGCAGAAGAATAATGTGAAGGATTTTGCAGGACTGGTTTTGAAATAAGGCATTTAAAACATTAACTGAAAGTTCTCTTTTCATCTTGTTTTGGGATAGTGAAGCACTGCATGCCTTAATCTTGTGACCAAAGATCACTTGATTGCCTGCTTGTGGGAAATTACAGCTGAACTTTTTCATTTTATTATAAGCTTCTCAGGTGCCATAGGTGAAACTTTGTGTCATTCACAGTTACTGATTCATGCTGCACTAATTCTAGGTGCTTTTTCAAGGCTGCAAGATGCTGAATGCTTGGTGTAATGCTCAGTGCTTCATGTAACCTAAAAGAATGTTTATAACCTTTGATATGAAGATGACAGGCTCCCTTTTTGGTCACAATGGCTCTAGAAAAAGAAATAATATCTAGAAATCACTATTTAATTTGCCATCTTCTGTGGAGGGACCCATTTAACTCAAGATACTTTTGACCTCATAGAGGAACTGAAGATACTATCACTATAATGATGTGAGGGACTCATTAAATAACATATGCCTGCATGTGCTTCCTTATGAGACACCTTGTGCTGGTTTAACTAAAACAGGTTTTGTGCATGTCAGCTAAAAAGCTTTTCTATTTTTAAGGCTCTGGGAAACTCTCAGAGGGAATATGAAAGGCAGGTTGTGCTCTACAGCATCCGCAATCAGTTACGGTACCGGAATAACTTAGGTGAGTAAAGCAGCTAACTTTTAATTGCTGCCCGAATCTTCTCTGTGGAAGATTGTTTTTACTCTAAAACTGTAATAATTAGTCCTGTTTAAAGGTCCCTCTGTCCCTGAAATACTTCTGAATGATAAAACATCATGAGAAGTCTTCACATCTGAGTCCAGGCTTGTTTGCAGGCTCCCATTTTATTTTGCGCTAACTGCATTCAGTCCTCTTTTACAGTAGATAATAATTTGACTAATTAACAGATCATTTTCCAGAGAGCCTGCATGAGTTGTCTCAATGGGCCACTTCCTGGTAACCTGCAAAGTAAATCTGTTCTGTTCTGATGTGTAATGGCTCTGAAAGTAATTATATTGTATATAGAAATCTCTGGATGCTACATGCCATATAGCCTTCCTTTATCTTGTTTTTAGCTTTCTGTCAATCTCTGTTATAGTCTTTCTTAGTCTTCTGTTGAGACATTTTTTGACTGAACTTGATCTAACAATGCAACTTTTTCTCTTCTTTTCTTGTAGTTAAGCATGTCAAGAAAGATGAACGTAAATATTACGAGGATCTGTTAAAATACAGCCGTGACCACCTGATGTTGTACCCCTACCATTTGTCTGACATAATGGTGAAAGGGCTGAGGGTAACACCGTTTTCGTATTACACAGGCATAATGGAGGTGAGTGCAAAACTATGGTGAGAAATGGTGTATTATGTCCTAGAGATGTCAGTGTATGCAAGACAATGTCAGGTGGTTTGTTTGTTTTTGGGTAGGAACTGCTAACAAATTGCAGCTTTTAGATAACTACTTGTATCTGCTGTTTTTTCACCCTTGTACCCCCATAAACCTTTCAAGAACTGGACTTTGTCATGTGGAGTTGGGTGGGACTTGTTTTTAAGCCCATCTTTCTTTTGATCCTTGAGATTTGTGATTCTTCATTTCAAACTGCTTGTGAAAGATATACCCCATTCTGTTTGGTAAATAAAAATTTTGATTGAATGCAAAGGGAATTTTGCTTAAAAAAGAAAAAACAAAAAAACAACACACCCAACTAAACAAGAAAAGAGCAACACGTTTGTATGGTTGTTTTCTTCTTCAGAAATAGCATTTGACCATATCAAAAGCTATTTCTGTGAGTACTAAAATGGTTCTGTTTTCTGTCAGCTCTCTGGCAACCTTTTTGTTTTCTTTGGATGTCAGAGAGATGAGGGAGAGAAATGTCAAGGGTAAAGGTGAGAAAACTTGTGGGTTGAGATGAAGACAGTTCAGTAGGTTAAGCAGAAGCTGCACACGCAAGCAAAGCTAAGTAAGGAACTTGTTGGCAGCTTCCCATCAGCAGGCAGATGTTCAGCCATTTCCTGGGGCTCATCACGTGTAATGGTTACTTGGGAAGACAAATGCTGTAGCTTGGTGCATTCTCTCTCCTCTCTTCCTCCTTTCCTGCAGCTTGTGTTGTTGAATACCATGTATGATATCTTCATATGATATCGTCATACAATATGGAACATCTCTTTGGACAGTTTGGGTCAGCTGTCCTGATTCTGTTCCCTCTCAGCCTCTTGTGCACCCCTGCCCCTTCTCTGGGGCAGGCTAAGAAGCTGAGATATCCTTGAGTCTGTGTAAGCACAGTATTCCACGGTAGCTAAGACACTCATGTATTATCAACATTGTTTTGATCACAAATCCAAAACATCTTCTACCATGAATAAAATTAACATTATCCTAGCCAGAATTACTGTACTGACTTTAATAGATTTCTGATTTAATTTCATGGTTTTTTTTTTTTTTTTTTTAAAGGATGAATTTTACATTTGCTTCTCTGAAGCAATGACATTCTTATTGCAATTGAATTTTCTTGTCTTTTTCAGGATATAATGAACAGTGAAAAAAGCTATGATTCATTACCCAACTTTACTGCTGCTGACTGTAAGTATTATCTATCTGCAGTACTGCTTCTGGAAATGAATTAATGGGGCATCTATTTGCTTGAGCACAAATGTTAATGAAGGTATAGAAGCATTTATATAGTGGTATTCAAGGTGTGCTCTCCATGCAATGTACTGTCTGTATGATAAGCACAGGAATTGGGCTGATTTAAGTAATACTAGGCATGGTAAAAAACAGCTTCTGTCCTTGCATGTAGTGCCTTCCTGTTTGTTTGAGCTTCTGGGTGGAAAGTCTTACTGGCTGTTGTGTCATCCAGCTGAGCAGCTGATACTTTCCCACTGTGTGTTTTGGTGTGTGTTGGGCAGAAAGCTTTGGAAAAACTCTGAAAGGCTGTTGGCTCTGCTATGAATTAGCACCAGTGGACAAAGATTTACAAGAAAAGAGATTGTCACTTTGTGATACCCCTAAATGTGCCAGATAGACTGTCTTGCTTTCTGTTAGACTGTTGTGGGCACAAGAAGGGCAGGTTATGCATAAGCTCATATTAAACTTGGAGGAGGGCAGAATGATCACCCGTTGACAACTGAGACAGGATGTGGGTTAAAGCTCCTGGGTAGTTTTCCAGTACCTTTTCATAATTTGTTAATGGTTGAAGGCTGGCAGTTATAGAATTAAATTCTGATTTACTTGAGCAGAGCTAGATCTTAGTCATCTTCCTTAAAGGCTTACATGGTCTTTTGTGCTCTAATTCTTAGTTTCTAATCAAGTTCTAAGAGTTCTAAGAGTTCTAAGTTCTAAGAGTTCTAATCAAGTGCATGGTGTGGCAGTAGGGTAGAAAAACACCCTGTTGATCGAAACAGGTACAGCTTTAGTTCTCTTGCTTTGAAGCATTGTAATTACCTGTTGGAGTGAAGGCAGAAGAGAAAAAAGTTGGATTATTCCCTGCTACTCTTTGACTTGAGAGAAACTGGATACTTAAAAATATATATATAGAATGTAAAGTAAATGAATAGGAATAGATTGTGCTTTTTAGATGGACATGGTTTTGGCCAAATTCATAAATTCATTTGGGACTGAGTTTAGTTCCTCCAGGTATCCTTTTATTTTGGGAAGGAGGAGTAAATGAAAGTATTAGTTACAAGTAGGTTTGATTCTTTCAAGAAGATTTTATGTGTCTTCAGCTTAAACCCTTCCAAGAGAAATAAAACTTTGATTATTTTCCAGGTCTAAGACTTCTTGGTATAGGAAGAAACCAATATATAGACCTAATGAACCAATGTAGATCTTCTAAGGTAAGTTTGTCTTCCGTTTCTTCTTTCTTCCCTCACCTCTAGAGCATGATTTGAAAGGAAGGAGTGGAAAAAATTTGTGGGCCTTGTTCGTTTGCTATTATGTGCACTTGATTGAGCACTGCGTAACATACTGCTAATTATTTTCTGTTTCTTAACAACAAAAAAAAGTACTAAAACCAAAATAGACTAAAGAACGGATATTCAGCATTACTTTAAAAAAAGCCAAAACATAACAACAATCAACAAATACAAGGGTGTCCACCAAAATATGAAGTAGATAGAGTGGATCTAAAAGTAACAACTATACAGTGGAAGAGAATGGAGAATGAGCTATTTAACTGGTAAATGAACAGTACATTTTAGTTTCTCTTTCTTGTATCGAAATTCACTGTGCTTTCATAGCATCTTTCTTACTGAGAATATGGAATCTTGCTCTTTTAAAGTAAATAAACTGTGTTATTAAAACGGATTTTAAGACTGCTGCATTTATTTAAAGTAGACCAATTGTATACTTGTTTGCTGTTCTTGGACTTGATCTTAATGTCTTTAGATAGACTTAGTGACATACAGAATATGGATGTATGTGGCGATTACATCTGACAGTATCAGGTGTAAATAATTTTTTTACAACCTGATCTCATATAATTTGAGAGAGGAGGAAGCACATTCTGTTTCTGATCAAGTGTGGGCCTTTACTAAAAGGCAAGGTTAATAGTATTTGTGTGCCCAGTCTAAATATGATGTACTTAAAAATCAGATTATATAAAGGTAGATGGTTGCCTGCATGTGTGAAGTGCTATTTATTTCTATCTCAAATGGACTGTACCACTGCAGAAATTTTTCAGAAGGAAAACTGCGCGTGATCTGTTACCTGTGAAACCTGTGGAAATTACCATAGAAGCTTGGTGGGTTGTGCAGTCTGGCTACATCACTGAGGATGACATCAAGGTACTTCAGTGCAGCTGGCAGCTCTAATTTTGGTTGAATACACTCATGGTTCCTGAAAACAGACTTCCCTTTGTGTATTCTACACAAAGACTGACTGAAGATTGGAGCTTTTATAACAACTGACATGGAAATAGAGATTGGAACTGGTAGAAGTGGTATCATTCTTTGTTGGTATATTCTGCCCTCTTCCTCCTTTGTGCTTTGTGTCACATTCAGTGCTGAGGTTGCTTTGTGTCAGCAGAACTGGGAACTGAAGTGTGTGCTGCTGTGCTTTATAGGGAACAGGCAGCAAAATGTGCCTTCTCAAATTTCATGTTTTAGCTCACATATTGGTTTTGACTAAATCTTCACCTTCAGTGCTAGTGGACCTTATTTGTTACTTCATTTCTGCTCCTTATATCCCTATTTGTTTCATTTGAAACTTGAAAAACTTGTGAGCTGGCTTAATGTTTTGTCATCATTCTGTTTTCACAGTATCCTATTTCATTCTCACAGTTTTTCTACAGTCAGCTAGTCTCCTGATCTTACAGAATCATAGAATCACTCAGATTGGAAAAGACCTTAAAGATCATTGAGTCCAACCACAACCTAATCAAACTACCCTAACTAACAACCCTCCACTAAATCATGTCCATGAGCACCACATCCAAATGGTTTTCAAACACATCCAGGGATGGTGACTCAACCACCTCCCTGGGGAATCTATTCCAGTGCTTAACAACCCTTTATGTAAAGCAGTTTTTCCTGATATCCAACCTAAACTTACCCTGGCACAACTTGAGGCCATTTCCCCTCATCCTGTCACCAGTGAGAAGAGACCAACCCTGCTCTTGCTGTAAGCACCTTTCAGATATTGGAAGAGAGCAATAAGGTCTCCCCTCAGCCTTCTTTTCCCCAGACTGAACAGCCCCAGTTCCTTCAGTCTCTCCTCACAGGCCATATTCTCCAAGCCCTTCACAAGCCTTGTTGCCATTCTTTGGACCTGCTCCAGCACCTCAATGTCCTTTCTGTACTGAGGTGCCCAAAACTGAACACAGTACTCAAAGTGAGGCCTCACCAGTGCCGAATACAGGGGCAGGATGATTTCCCTAGTCCTGCTCACCACACCATTCCTGCTACAAGCCAGGATGCCATTGGCCTTCTTGGCCACCTGGGCACACTGCTGGCTCATATTCAGCCAACTGCCCATCAGTACACCAAATCTGTGTTTAATTCCTTCTGTGTTGGTTTACCTTTTACCTTTGATTGGAGCATAGTCAATGCAGTGATGGAAACTTCCTTTGACTGTTATTGGGAGTATCTTGGACAGTGGTTGTGTACATTCTGACATTCCAAAGTAGTTAACCTGAAGGAAATTGCTTGATATTGAAATTGCCCTCTTTCTAGAATGGTTCTAGTTGCGTGTTTGAACACTTAATTTAGAAGTTTTAAAAAGCAAAGCTAATATACACTACTGTAAAATACCTATGCAATTAAATACTGTTCCTAGAGCACATGTAACTTTATTTAGGGACAAGAGTAAAAACTTCAGTAAGAAGTGCGGTGAATTCTTCAGTGCAAGCATTTTAATGAAGAACATGGTTACTTTCTGTGTTTTTGTATTACCTGTGACTTATCTGAATGTGAAATGTTCATGGTTCTTTTTTTTATTATTATTTTTAGCAGTATTATTCAAGTTGCATAGACTCATTTCTGCAACAGACTAACGCAGATTTATTTACTTAGATTTGTACTACATCGGAAAAGTCTGCTATTGATAAGATAATTGATTCAGGTCCTCAGCTTGCTGGTTCACTGGACTTCAATGTAGTTCACAGTAAGTGTTTAATTGGCATTCCTTTTCTGTGTGTAGATATTGCTCAGTAAATTCAGAGAGCATTGTCTGAAAACTTAGATATAAAAGAATTGAGGATAGCTAAAGTTTGGGAGGATGTGGAGGGAAATACTCAAGAGCTTGTACAGGCTGCAGTCTTAAGTTTTGTGAATAATTTAACAGTGAGATGTTAGGAGGTGTTGCTCTGATATTATTCCATGTAATTTAACACATTCCTTTTTTAGAAACTGATAGTAGGAGCTCAAGAGGGAACAGAGGGTATATGAGAATGAGAGAAACTAAAAATAAAAATGACAATAAATAAAAATTGCTGGGAGCTAGAACTTAACTATTTGTTTTTCAAAGAAAAGGTTTTGAAATTTCCTACTATTTGAAAACTATAAAAAAATTAAACTTGAGTCTAAGAGGTTGTCTACCTCAAATGTCTGCAAATGTTAATGAAAACTGTGTGCTTCTCCCTATTCCAGTGTTACAGGCAAATTGTATTAATCAAGGGAGCATGAATTCATTGACAAATCATCTTTGAGAACTCTGTAAATCATAGCATTGAAGAGTGATTTGGTTTGAAAGGGACTTTTAAGATCATCTAGTTCCAACCCCCTTCTTTAGACAGGGACATCTACCTCTAGACCAAGTTGCTCACAGCCCCATCCAGCCTGGCCTTGGATGCTTCCAGGGAGGGGGCATCCACAGCCTTGCTGTGAACACAACCTGTTCCAGTGTCTCACCACCCTCAGTAGAGACTTTCTTCCTGATATCTAGTCTAAATCTACCTGCTTCCAGTTTAAAACCATTTCTCCTCATCCTGTTGTTCCCTGCCTTTATAAAAAGTCCCTCTCCAGCTTTCCTGTAGGTCCCTTTCCAGGTAGTGGAAGGCTGCCATCAGGTCTCCTCTGTGCTTTCTCTTCTCCAGGCTGAAGAGCCACAGCTCTTTCTACTGAAAGCAATTGGTAGGGTGATGAGACCTCTGGAAAAGCGCATGATGACTCAGAAAGTGTTGAGGGAAGTAGTTGTAAAGCTCCAGGTATATTGCATCAAACTTCAAGAGCTCTGTTATCGGATAACACCTGCTGAATGTTGGATGTGGTTTATTGATTGTGTACTGCAAAATAATGTTGTATAAGCTAATAGGAAATACTGCTTTACATTCTGAACTGAACTGATGGGAAAGTCTACTTGTATCATTAGGACTCTGCAAAATGCTTTTTCTCCAATGATTTGCTTTACTTTATACAGGCTTGTATAACAAGGGATTTATTTACCTCGATGTACCAATATCTGATGACAGCTGTATAGCAGGCAAGTAAATATTTTTGTAGTATAAACCTGCATTTTCTTGGATTTATTTCAGTTGTTATAAAGACATTGGTTTTAAATTGTACGTAGGACTTTCTTCAATTTGAATTCATATCTTTTGATATAAATATCTAGGTAAGTTGATGGTTTTAAAGATCCACAGTACGACATAGGTACCTTCCTGTACGTCTGTAATGGAAAGGAATCACAATGTAAAGAAATGTAGCTGCTGTGCTAAAAAGGCTTGAGTTTTTCATTCCTATACAGCTTTTTCTTTTTACTTGACTCAACTTTTTAAAAATTGTATTTAATAGATATCGGTTCCATCATCCTTTGTTTTGTCACCTCAATTACAGCAGCACACTGTGTCTGGGCACTAGGTAGGAGCTTAAACTAGTGCAGCACATGGCTGCCTTTGAACAGCTCGTGCTGTGCTAAGGCTCAAGGGTTTCTGAGTTGTGTAAAGACACACACTGTTGAAACCTGCCCATGCAGAACTCCATGTTGTTACTGTAGTAGAGATCAATTAAGCAAATGCCCTCTAAATTCAAGAAATACTAGCTTTGGCTGCTCCCAAAGGGTGGAGAGGTGGAAGAAGGGTGACTTTTTCTTTTTGTTGTTGTCATGCCTCAACCCCCACTCGCTTTTTTCTTTCACAATTTACTCTCTGTTGGCGTTAGAAAACCATTTTATGGGCTGAGTGGCTAGAAATTATCTGTAGTGGATGAGCAGGAGTCTGAAAGACAGTGATGCAAAGCAGAGTGGGTTTTTTTAATACTAAAAAAATTTTGGCAACCGTTATTTTCTTAAGTGCTAGGAGAAATTTTAGTACCATATAAACTCTCTTTAGGTTTTTATTCTTTGAAACGTGAGTAATACAGATACCCATTGTAAAATGGTAATACAGGCACCACTGTGTTACTTTAGTTTCTGTTTTATGCAGTTTCAGTTTAAAAAAGAAAATTACCAAGTTGTAATCATGCAAGTAATTCTTTTCAGTGCCACCACTTGAAGGTTTTGTGATGAACAGAGTGCAAGGTGATTACTTTGAAACACTCCTGTACAAGATTTTTGTTTCAATAGATGAACACACTAATGTGGCAGAGGTAAGTAAAACTCACCTTGTGTCTTGGTGATGGGAAAACCATGAAAGGGCCCAAAGCACGCAGGTGAAATACTTAAGGCAGAAGTATGGATAGGTATCAGGGAGTTTTATAAGTATTGTCTGACTTGCAGAGTTTGAGATAAATAGGTTTCCCTAGTATTGAATACAACTTCATTAGTTCTGCAGTAAGATGCACATTCAGTGAAGCAACTCCATCAGCTGGAGTGAATTACATGGGAATAATTTATGCAGTTTATTCTGTACTGGTTAGAATGGGAGTCTGTTTTCCTTCTGTCCCAACTATATTGGTTCTGTTTTGCTAGTGTTAATTAAGAAAAAACAAAAATAAAAATTTCTGATTGTGAAAACATGCAGGGTGTTGGCTTAAAGTAGGAACCTAACTTTTGCATAAATAGTTATGGTTCTAATTCTTTTTTCATAAGGTCTCATTCTCAAACGTGTGGGGAAAAATTACCTGAAAAAATACCTTATGAATACACATAGGTTTTATTTTCTTCTGTCTTACAATATACATGATTAACCTAAAAATTATACAGTAGAAGATAACCTCATATTTCTTTTGCATGCATTAAAGTGGAACAATCATGAGACTTCATCCCATTTTTTCCCCTGTTGCTTTTGGTCAAGACAAAATTGCTTCTACCATTACAGTCTGTATTAAGAAATAAAGAGACAAAACCAGGAAAAAATGCCAAAGCCCAAAAATTGTGGATTACTCTGCATTATTAATTTTGCATTGTTGACTTTTCTTTTTTTTCTTTTTAGCTTGCAAATGTCTTGGAGATTGACTTATCTTTAGTAAAGGTATGTGTGTTGCACTTTGTTATTTGATGTGAAAATCTCAGTCTTGCAGGTTGGCTTGGTGGAGAGGTTTCATGTTGCAATTCCTTATTATGTTTGTGTAATTTTTGTGTGTTTCTGCAGAATGCTGTGTCCATGTATTGTCGATTAGGCTTTGCTCATAAAAAAGGCCAAGTCATAAACTTGGATAACCTTCATCCATCGTGGAAGAATGTTCCTTCAGTGAACAGACTGAAGTAAGTGTTCTTTTACGAAGTGTATTTCTCTTTGAAGAGAAAGCTAGATTTGATTCCTTTTTTATTTTGATTCCTTTTTAGATTTGGTTCCTTTTTTTGACTTCTAATTTCACTTGGCTTTCTAATGTGTGTGTGTGTGTGTGTGTGTGTGTGTGTGTGTGTGTGTGTGTGTAGTGACATGAATACTTGATTATCTCTCTAATCTGAGGATTAGGGGTGGTAATGTGCCCTTTAAATACTACTTCTGTTGCCATTACTCAGTGGTGGCTTTTTAACTTTTAAGTGCTTCATTACTTACTTTTGAAGCAGACAAGTGTGAGTTTGTTCTGAAGCACTGGGGAGCAAACAACAGCTCTTACTGTGCTGGTACAGAGATGATGCCTGTTGGTACTGCTTCATGTGATTATGTAGTAAAGCTTGCTTACTTGCTGTGAGGTTGTCTAGTAGTACAGTCGTAGACACTCTTAATCTACATTTATCCGTATAAAATCCTGATAATAGAAAGCAAAGGGTTCTCCAAGTTGGAGTGCCAGTTTACATGATCTAAGCATTGTCAGGTATTTCATTGAATTCAGTTTCTCTTAAGCCACTTAAAGGAGAAGAAAAAAAAAACCAACAAACTAAAAAACCAGTTATCATTAATGCTAATTCAGAATGTGAGAACAAAATGAAGAAGACTCTTCATTGGATTTTTCTTGAACAGTGGTGATTTGATCACTTTTTTTTTCAGTTCTGTTATTCAAAACCTGGTATTTTTCAGCCCACCGAGTAAACTTTTCTGCTGAAGCAAAAGCAGGACTCTGAGAGCCATCAAGCTGGACTGATTTAGGGCTCAGAAACATTGAAAGGAATGTGTTGGACTTGCCTGTGCATGGAATACTAGCACTGGAAGGCAAAAATAGTTCTCTGGTGCTGCAGTGACTGATAGTTGTGGATTTTAATTCACGTTAATAGGAGTACTTTGGATCCTCAGAAGATGCTGCTTTCGTGGGACAGTGGGGAAAACAGAAGTCCTGTACAGGAAGCTGGGTCTTCAGCCACAGATACAGACACCAACAGTCAAGATGATCCAGGTTAGCACGACCAATGAATCTAATACATAGGAACAATTACTTTATAGCACTGTAGGCTGTAAAGGGGTTTATAAACAAATGAAATGTAAAATCTGTGAGGATTTTTTTTTTTTTTTTTTTGGTATAAATTATACAGGGGGGGAGGTGATGTCTAAGTCTTGGTTTATTCAGCCTCATTGTTAGAAAGTAAGGTATTTTGCTCATCTATGTTATCAATATTAGCTGATGCCAAGATACCAATACATGAATGATCAACGTTGATTATTCAGCACTGATCAGGGAATTCTGTTGCACTCAGCATGACATTAACTAAGGCTTTTTGATTATTTTAAATACTTGTATGATTTGATGTTTTCGTTTTTAAATTAAATGTAATCTTGTTTGTTTTTTTTCCTTGTTCTTTATTAGCTGAAACAGCCAGTGTGAGCAGCCTGAATCTGTCCAGCGGGCACACAAAGCGTATTGCCTTCCTGTTTGATTCTACCCTCACTGCCTTTCTAATGATGGGAAATCTTTCACCAGTATGTCCAAATTGTTCAGTGTATTACACTAAGACTCAACATGTAGAGTTTGAAGATGTTTTACTTCCATATAACACAGCTATAATTATTTTTAAAACTTACATTGTTGTGGCTAAGAAACACTTGCTTAATAACATTTTTGCTTGCCTGTTCTCTTTTCAAAGAACTAAAACAGTTTTGTTTTATTATTCCAGAACTTGAAAAGTCATGCGGTCACTATGTTTGAAGTAGGGAAACTGTCAGATGAGTCCCTTGACAGTTTCTTGGTGGAGCTGGAGAAGGTAATCTGTTGCATGCGTGGCCGAATGTTTTCTCAGCACTAGTGTAAAGGGACAAAAAGCCTTCAGTATTTTCATTTTGTAAGTCTGCTCTAAGAGCCTTGTTTAACAATAGAGTGATATGAATGCTCCTCATCATACCAAACCTAAGTGCTTCAGTTAATTGTTGATTATTAACAGTATCCATGCTGCAAGGGACTTTGTGGAACATACTATGCATGTATGTGAATGTGTAGAATGTCTGGTAAGCAGATTGAATGAAAGAACTACGTTTACCCAGGTCTGTGTGTACATGCATCTGTGTTATGGCTTGTTTGTTAAATGCAAATCACTTTTTAGTAAGATGTTAATATTTTTGAAAATCTGTATATCGTTTTTTTAGAAAAACTTGGCTGTTATATTCTAGTATGTTTAACTAATCCACCTTTAAAGATAATTCTAGAAGGACAACTTCAGAATTACATCAGAGGGCTGTGCTGTTAATTGCAGTATTCTTTTACACCAGTCAGGAGTACTGGAAATTTAAATCTTTTTGCTTGAAAACTGAGGCATGATTCAGATTTATAGATGTCCTTATGTATTTTTTGACAATTTGACTAACGTGACAAAGGCTCACTTTTCATTTAACAGCTGCTGTGTATAACCTTTGGGGTTGTTATGCCATAAAAACCTTTCAAATGATAACTTGTTGATTTTTTTCTTATTGCATTATTAATGCTTGTGCAAACAATATGTCATCTATGTGCCTTTATTTTGCTTCTTGTTTAGGTTCAAAGCACAGGTGAAGGGGAGGCACAGCGATACTTTGATCACGCACTTACACTGAGAAACACAATACTGTTTTTACGGCATAATAAAGACTTAGGGGCACAAGCTGTACAGCCTGACCAACCAACTAACGGTACTGTGAACTCTTCTGAGGAAATATTTTGTGTGTTTTTACTTATCTGCCATGTACTCAGCTGTATCAGAAGGCAATCAGTGCCTTGTTTGATTGAAAGTATTCTGGACCCAAAAAAACATTGCTTCATCCTTTGAGTTTGTGGTACTGAGTTTTGTTGAATGACAGATTTGGTGCACAGGCTTGGGCTTAATGTCCAAAGATTATGCTTAATGGTAATGGTGGCAAGACGAGCTGAAATTGAGGAAGGGTTTGGTTTTATATTGTGTGCTTCTGAAGGCTGTAATAAAGGAAGTAATCCTTTTATTCAAGTGGAATTTTCTATTTAAAAACAAAACAAAACATTTTCTGTACTAGGAAAATGAGTGTATTCTTTCTAATGAAGATAAATATTTGTAAAATCTTGCTTAACTTTTCTTTTAGTAATTGTGTGTAATAGTAATAATGTGCTTTGCTTTTCTGGGATCGGTTAGTCAGGACAAAGTTGTAACTCTGCCAGGGAATCCTGTATTACTTGAACTGCTGAAATTACTGGGATTAACTTGAATAAGTCTGTACGTAACTTAAAACTTTGTTTTGGAAAATACTGTGTTAATGGCTTAGAGGGTGGAATGGAAAATCTGAAATCATGCTTTAGGTTTTATGTTCCATTCCAAATAATCAAGAATCTTACATTCTTATCACAGGATTTCCCTTGGATCTCTTACGATGTGAGAGTTTGCTTGGCTTGGATCCAGCTACCTGCAGTAGAGTTCTCAACAAAAATTATACCCTACTGGTTTCCATGGCACCACTCACCAATGAAATTCGACCTATTAGTAGCTGTACACCCCAGGTGAAAAAATACTAGGGGAAAAAACAGTATGTAGTAATAGAAATAGTTTCGTAGCTTTGTTTTTGTGCATGTCTGCTATGTGTCTCTTCTGAAAAGCCATAATTATTACATTCTAATATAAATACATAAATACTATAAATACATTATATAGTGTTACAATTACTCTTAAAAATATTTATTGAGTAAAATGTGAATACTTACTACACTTTAATTTATGAGCAATGTACCTTTCAAGTAGGGTTAACCACAGATTTTTTTCTTCTTGAACTTGTGCTGATATAAATTACTATCAAGAGAGAAAGTACCTAGAATATCATGTGATAATAAAATAGTTGGGGTTAGAAGGTACCTTTAAGATCATGTAGTTCCAGCCCCACTACAAATATCATCTCTCCTTAGTAAATTAACACATTTTTGTACTCCTTCCTATGCTGCAGAACTAGCTTTATGTTTCTTTAAAACTATCAATTATTAAATTATATCCGTACATGTAAGAATTGCAATAACAGGCTCTGTTTTTTTTTTCTGAATAATCTCTTCAGCATATTGGACCTGCAATACCAGAAGTCAGTTCAGTTTGGTTCAAACTGTATATTTACCACATAACTGGACAAGGACCACCCTCTCTATTGCTCTCTAAAGGAACACGTCTTCGAAAACTTCCAGATATTTTTCAGGTAGTATAAGTACAGATTGATTTTTTTTCTCTCCCTTCTCTTAATGTTTCAAAGATGTGCTGTATACTAAAGAATTCACACACAGTTGTAATCTGAGGTATAATCATGTAGCTATTGTAGCTTTCTTAGGAGCAAGTTTTATGTAGTATAAAATCATAGTCGTTTGAGTTGGAAGGAACTCTTGGAGGTCATCTAATCCAACTCCCCTGCTATGAACAGGGACACCTACAGCTAGAGCAGGTTGCTCAAAGCCCTGTCCTGCCTGACCTCGAATGTTTCCAGGAGCGTCCACCACTTCTCTGAACAGCCTATTCCTATACTCTTAATGTAAAAAAAAAAAAAAACTTCTTCCTTATATTCAGTCTTTATCTCCACTCTTTTAGTTTGAACTCACTTCCCATTGTCCTAGCACAACAGGCCCTGCTAAAGAGTCTGTGTCCTTTCTTATAAACTTCCCTTTAGATATTGAAAGCCTGCTATCAGGTCTCCTTGGAGCCTTCTTTGCTCCAAGTTGAACATTCCCAGCTCTTGGTATGTCCAATTCAAGCTTGAAAGACTTCAGATGCTGCTTTTTCCCGTTCTGGCCCTCAGAGGGACTTGTGTCCCATGAAGGAGTATTGTTAGGTATTTGGTAGCCTTGGCAAACCTAGCTGGGAGTGACATGGCAACTTTTAAACTTGGCAGAACCAAAAAATTGTGGTTTCTATTAACTTTAATTGACACACAGCAGACACGTAGCAGTGTCTGTGTCTCACTGATTACAGCAAGGTTCACAAAGTAGTCTTGTTCATATTTATAATCGGAGGGTGATCTCTACAATTTGCACCTCTTAATTCAGATAGACACTTGAGCTGAGCATACTGCCGTAGTATGGAGGTGTTCAGAGAGCAATGCGTATTCTTAGTATCCACATAAGCAGTTATCTCTGGCTCTTGGATTTGTAGATGTAGATTCTGTTCCTCCAGCCTCTTTCATGTATCTTCTCTTCCTCTTCATGTCCTTTCCAATTTGAAAAATGTTGTACTTCTATTTCTAAGACTTGTTTTAAAATAACGGGATTGAATGAACCAAGACATACACAGCAGAAAGCATTCCATAAGGCTTCTAAGAGCTTGACTGAAACTTTGTCAGTAACTTAAACTGATGGTAAATAGATGATGTATTTTCATTAATAAAAAACATTCAGTGTAGTTGCCTTGGAACATTTCCAAAGTGACCTGTGTTTTCAGAGAGCTGATGGGTCTGTTTTTCCTCTACTGTTTCATTTCATGTCCTACATTATCACAAACTTGTTGGAGCCCTTCTCTGTACTGATGCAAATGCTTCTCTCCTGCTTTTATTTTGCCATGTCATCTTGAGAAACTGTTGAGACGTTTCTGAAACTCCTACAGACATTTTCAGTCTCGAAATCGGGGAAGTTTGTCAGTGTTTTTGCCTTCCTGTCCCTTCCCTTTGGATGGCTACTCTGGGATTGATATATATCGTTGCTTTCTTTTGACAGTGTTAGCTTAGCATTTAGATTTATTTGGAATTATTTTCATCTCATATTTGTTAGGAGACTGCTGCGAGGCCCACCTAGTCCTGTAGGGACGGTTGACAGATACATTCTACTCAAACTACCATCTTAACTTTGAGATTGGCAAACTTCTGTCCTTACCAGAAATGTGAGCATGAGTGATCCTTGGTAGGAAGTATAATGCTATAGAGTTGTAATCTGCAGTAATTTCAGAATTGTAGCAGCATGCTATTAGCCTAACTGCAGCATTTCACTTTGTGCTTGGATAGTCCATTACTGCTGTGCATAACCTTCTGTCTTCTAGGGTTATGATCGCTTACTTATAACATCTTGGGGTCACGACCCAGGAGTAGTTCCTACTTCAAATGTGCTCACAATGTTGAATGATGCTTTAACGCATTCAGCTGTTCTAATTCAGGTATGGAATACCTTCTGTAAATGATGAAAACATATAATTTTGGGTAAAACTGTTGCATCAAAGAGTAGATTAAAAATGTAGGAGACCTATGCTTTTGTTGGGAGCTGAAAAATGTTTAACTTTAGCCATTGCTGGTGTGGTTTAGAGGGGATAAAGACTGTCGATGCATATGTAATGTGCATTATTGCATTATGAGCAAATATTAAGAGTTTTGCTCAATGAAAATGAGATGAGGGTTTATAGAAGCTTTGAGGGTATAGTAAACTGAAATGAAAATGAATAATCCACAAGTCTTTTGGATGGTAGTGATGTATAAGGTAACTGACAGTATGAATTATTCAAGAAACTGTGCCTCTTCAGTGAAGCTTAACTAATTATCTTCATTCACGTGCATTTTAGGGGGAAGAGGATGGGTATCTTATTCAATCTATTTATTTTGAGAGTGTTAATACAGAAATATTTCTATGTTTGTTTCACCAACGTGACTGGTGGCCTTTAAAAGAGAGCATGATTAGGACTAAGCTAAGCTGATGAGTACATTTTTTTTTGGTGCCTAATGTGATTTTCTTGATGTTCAGGGGCACGGTATGCATGGAATGGGAGAAACTGTGCATGTACCTTTTCCATTTGATGAAGCTGAGCAGCAGGGAGGTAACTTTATTTAATGTAATCTTTGTGCCACCATATTGAATGCTACCTCGTGCAGCAAGGTTGCAATAATACTTCTTCCTAGTACAACAGAGTTTAAAAAGCAGAAATTAACTTTCTGATGTACTCCTTGGTGATAGGAGGCTTTGGATTGGCCATAAGCTTTCTAGCTTAGAATTTGAGAAAAACTGCAGATTTGCAGATATGAAATCTAATGTTACTTAGGCTACTAGAAATAAAGCTAATTTCATAGTCTAATTTTTATTATGCTCAAAATAGATTGCCTTTTATGTATGTCCCCTCTGGTATGTCTGCTTGTAAACTTAGAAAATTCTAGGATTAAGAAGTCAGTGTTGAAACTCCTTGTTGCCCTCTAGTCTGTACTATAATTCTTCAGAATATCAGATCTGTGGAAGTTCTGGTATTGGATTTTTCTTACAAGACTGTGACACTGAGAGAGTTGGATGTTGTTTTTTCTTAGCTGAACCTAGCCATCTGCGCTGTCTGTGCGCACGACAGCTGTCTTCTTCAGTGTTACCCCACGTCCTCCCATATTATCGCTAATCTGTAGCATTAAAGGAGACAAAAAAAATCTAGATAAAAGCCAGTTTGACTAGACATGAACTATATGGCTTTGGAGGAGGTTTTCGCTAAAGTAAACTGGGATGTGTGTTTCCTTTCTTCTAGACTTCTCTCGTGTGAACATGGGCATTCATTCAGCTTTAAAGATACTGAGAAACAAAGTAGACTTGCAGCATTTTTGTGGCTATGTCACTATGCTGAATCCTACAAGTCGGCAAGCTAACAGGAAGCTGAGTGATGCTTCTGATGGAAGAGGTTAGCTATCAGTATTTGTGTGTGCGTGTGTGTGTGTTCTGTTAATTTACAGTTACTTCAGCAAAGTTGCGCAAAGGATTAAACTCAAAGGATTTGGATTTCTGCATGATATGGAATCACAGAATGGTTTGGGTTGAAAGGGACCATTATGATCACCTAGTTCCAACCCCCTGCTATAGGCAGGGACACCTCCCTCTAGACCAGGTTGCTCACAGCCCCATCCAGCCTGCCCTTGAATGCTTCCAGGGAGGAGGCATCCACAGCCTCACTGGGCAAACTGTTCCAGTATTTGAGCATCCACACAGTGAAGACTTTCTTCCTAATATCTAGTCTAAATCTACCCTCTGCCAGCTTAAAAACATTTCCCCTCGTTTTGCTGCTACCTGCCCTTCTAAAAAGTTCCTCCTCAGCTTTCTTGTAAGATCTCTTCCAGGTACTGGAAGGCTGCTACAGGGTCCCCTTGGAGCCTTCTCTTCTCCAGGCTGAAGAGCCCCAGCTCTCCCAGTCTGTGTTGGATATCATCCAACATAGAGAGAAACCCCATTTAAATCTGCTGTCAGTAGGCTTACTTCCTAATTGCCCGTTGAGCCTAAATTAGCAAATACAAACTGAAAATCATTGGACTAAAACAACTGGCAGGAAGGGGAATAAATCATTTCAAAACATTAAAATGTAAGTTGTGTTGTTTTCGTATGCCAGAACTTAATCTTTTGTAAGTGTGCTGAAGATCCCTAAGTAGCTCTAAAGTCCTAAGATCAGTAAGACTTTATATTTCTCTGTAATATTTCTTCCAGTTTAGTAGTTATGTAGGTTGCTCCAAAAGTAGTACCTCCTATTTATTTCCATGGAAACAAAGACCACTATAGCACTATGTGATAGAGAACATTTTTAGCTATAAAACACTGGTGGTTTTTGTTTGTTTGTTTTTTGTTTTTTGTTTTTTCAACATAGTCACCACCATTAGCTGTGTATTTTTGCCAGTGATGAACAAGAGCCTGCATGCTGCCCTTGTAAAAATCTGCAGCAGAGGATGTAATGCATTGTTGTCACTGCTGTAATGCACCACTCACCACCTCACTGTGCTCACATCCACTGTTTGGCCTCCGTAAACATTCAGAAGGAATCTATAAACATCAATGGGTGTCATTTTTTACTCATATAGTGGTTCAATCCCACACCATTGCTTCACATGTACTTTCTTGTCAGACATTGCTTTGTCAGACTGTTCCTCTGCTGCCATCTGCTGTAATGCTACAAAATTAACAGAATGTGGGCGTGAAGAGTCAACTCTGCTGTATCACCAACATCTGCCTCTGATGATGTGGGCCAACATAATAAAATAGGAGGCATTATTTTCAGAGCAGCTTTCCTGTATAGCTTTTGGGCAAAACTTGCGTGAAGTTCCTTACATCAGTTGGTAATTAAACATATACTCATCTAAATGTTTATGTAAGGATTATTTTACCTCCAGGGGATGCTGATCTAGCATCAGGATCTGATGTAAACGGGAGTACAGAGTCATTTGAGATGGTAATAGAAGAAACATCAATGGATTCTGCAATCAAGCAAAGCCTTGAAGGTAAAACTATGACAAATGTTTTGTACTAATCATTCCCTATCTAATAAGAATTCAGATTCTCTTAGGTCTTTGAGCAGTTGAGTAAATGAGCTGCCTCAAAAAAGCATGAATTGTCCTTTAGATCTGAGAGAATGGATTTGACCTGACAGAATTGGGTCTGGGATCAATATTTGCTGTCTCTTTTTTTTTTTTTTTTGTCTTTAGTACCCACATCAGAACTGGATTGGGTTCCTCTGGAATTATGCTTTGGCATTCCTCTCTTCAGCTCTGAGTTGAATCAGAAAGTCTGCAGAAAAATTGCCACTCATGGATTATGTAGAAAAGAAAGGTGAGCTTTATTTTACCAGCTGCATGTTTAATAGTTGTGTTATGTCCAGAGTTCCTGCAAAACGATTTGGGTATCTACAGCTTGATGACAACTGGACCAGAACCAGTTTTAAGTTTCGTAGTGATCCTAATTGAAGTGTGTAAGGTGGTGGTGTCAAGCTTTTTTGACTCAAGGGTACCAACTGTAATGTTAATGCCTAGTGAACCTTAGGCCACTGAAAAAAAAAAAAAGTAGGCTTGCTTTTCAGTGTGTTTTTGCAAGGTAGAAAATAAATTCTTTTTGGAAGCTATGTGAACATCAGGAAAGTTCAGAATGCCTTCCTGGCCTACCACAGACTTCTTTTCTTCACCACCTGACCTCCCCCCCCAAAAAAAAACAAAAACAAAAACCTCTCTTAATAGTGATTGGATGTAAAATGCATTTGGTTTTGGTAGAAATTTTCTTTGATTTTGGCATTTTATTTCCTAAGCTTAGTGCTGCCTTATGATCAAGATAACTTCTGCTTTTGACAGTAGCTTTTCTTTATGAAAGATTATTCACCCAGCAATGTATTTTGGTTTTCTTTGTTTGTTTGTTTTTCTCCAGGATATGGTTCTGGAAGCTAAATAAAAGGCTGCTTGAAAACACAGCTTACGGATTTTATTGTAGCAGCTTTTAACAGTGTATCACTTACCTGCTTCTGAAATCCACAATAATGTTCTTTACAAGAAGAAAACATGTTACAGTCTAATTTATTAATGTATTTTATGTGAAATAATATTTTTTTTCAACTGTAGTATTTCCATTTTAACACAATAAATCAGGAAAACAGCATTTAGCTGGTTGGGACTCACAAGCACATGAGATGATTTGAGTACCTCATCGGTGCTAATGTTATTGTCAGGCTTCCTGTCTGAAAGCTTTTTATTTTGTCATGTAATGCCTGGTACTACAAAAGAAATTTTTGAGCAGTTTACCATGATAATTCTTTACTAGATTAAATTGGGGCACCTTGGAAGGTTGGGAATTTCTGGCATGTATTTTGATTTTCTGTATTTGTACATAAATTCTTCTCTTTCACTTTTTACAGCCTACAAAAACTGTTACATTCCAGTAGAAAGCTGTCCTTGCAGGTCCTTAATTTTGTTCATTCATTCCAGGTAAGGAGGAATAATCAACAAGTAAATAATTCTGCTATGTGATGTTCTTTGCTCTCCTTTGTTATTCCTTGCTGAATAGGAACGTGTGTGGTGTTTGTTTTTTGTTTGTTTGGGGTTTTTTTGTTCTTTTCTTGCCCTCCTGTAAGTGGCCACTGTATTAAGTGCTGTAAAATTCAAAATCTACCCTTCCCTGATGATGAATGAGTATAAATATGTAAAAGTACAGATGCTGGGGGAAGGGCAAGGGCAGAAAGGGGGACCTTGTGTAGCAAGAGAGGGGAAATGCTTTCTCCACAGCCTCCTATGGTTCTGCATGGAAATACATGCTAGCAAGATGTGTCCACATATGACATGGAATCTACTTAGTTGCTTATGCTTTGATACATTTGTCTAAAATTCTATCCTTTCAGTACAGCAAGAAACTTGCAGGTTACTTTCCCTAGGTAGTGTTGCAGATGGTGTGATCCTGAAACCATTTCTTCTTGAGAATGTTGGAGGTTTCCAGAAGTTTGAAGCCATTGGAACCATCCAAGTCTCAAGTGCCTTCTTCCTAACTTTTTAGATTCTGTCTCTGGGGTGCACTTTTTATACCAATGATTATCTATACAGGGAGGGGAAAAATACTGAAGTTACTTTTTTAAGCTGAGAAACCAAACTTATGGGAAATATGTCTACTCATACTATGATCAAGTCAGTGCTTCTGAATATATCTATATACACCTCCTAGCACCGTATGAGATTGTGGCAGTGCTTAACACACTCAGACTGATGTGAGAGCTGTCTTGAAGATTTCACAGCTGCATATTCACTTCACTAGATCTTCCCTTAATTTTTAAGTCTCAGCCCTCCGTGAAGGCTTCTTGGAACATAAATATGTGCACACAGATGTAACCGAGGCAACTGTGTGCCTATTTCATGCCTTCCTTTGTTCTACTTTTACTTTCATAGTGATTTGGATTAAGCACACTTCAGGAATACTAAATTTGCTGATTGGAATAGCTTGTTATAGTCTACCTATTAAATCCTTCATTATTTCTCTTGCTTTTAAGACACTTTTCTAATTTTTGTTTTTAGGAAAGTACTTCAACGCTGGATCAGCTCCATGATGCTGGTTGTTCAAGTTCAATTTTGCAGCCAACTTCTGCAGATATGGGTGTTCCACTTCCTGCCAAGAATCTCATGTTCAAAGAAGGTGTATTATCTGAATGGAACGGACGGTCCCCTTCCTCGGTTTTTATTTCAACCACTCCTAAGGAACAGGTCAAATAGAGATTCTCACACATTGATCACTCTATGCCTTTCTTCTATTATGGTTATTTTATAGTGCCAACCACTAAGAAGTGTACTGTTGCTGCAGCATAACCCATGTAAAAGTAGTGTTACAAAAACGTGCTGTGTTGCAGTATTGGGGAACTGCTTAAACTGTCCAGAACTTGTTACTCATTACTGCGTATCTTGCTGCAACAGAGGGCTTTTTAGCTGTCAGCACTATTTTTATCTTGAGACAATCTTTCTTTTGTAACTAACCATGCTGTTTGTAGGCTTTCTGATGATTGTTAAATTTCTATGCCGTCACCACAGAATTGCAATAGTAGTTTTCTATGTTCGTTACTCAGACATAAATTCTGTTTAGTTTTGTACTGTAATACTGAAAGCCTTTCTGTATAAAGGTAGGAGATTTGGCTCTTCCTCTAAAAGCTCAGTGATACCAACTGTTTAAAAAATGTATCATGGTGATACGGAGCATTAAGAATTGTTGAATTATGAAGTTCACCCTAATACTGTGGCCTTGACAGATCAGCACAGTAGGAAATTTGATGCTTTCAGGGTCTATGTTAGAGCCGGCTTTAAGCCTTATTGATGACTAAGGCCATTTTGAAGATGGATGGTGTGCTTTCATCTCTGGTAAAATTCAGTGAAGATGTGGAATTGTGGGAAGGCTGAAGTGGTTGGCCCTCTCTGTAGAGTTCTTTATAATAATGGATTTGTCTTACTCTGTATGAAAAGGGGAGATGGAGATTTGGGACACGCTGTGAGTTGGTTCCACCTTGTTATTTGACATATTGCTGATGATTGCTGTGAGAAATCTCTTGATGTTGTAAGTTGACTTCAAGGTAGATAACTAGATATATTCTGTTGGTTAATGTTTGAAAGAGAAGATCTCTTATTTTTTTTCATGACTGTCCTTAGCAAAGGAAGATAGCAGCAGAAGTTGTGTAGGCAGAGACTTCTCTGAATCTGTTTTCTTTTCAACCATTAGCTGTTCGTTCTGACAAACGTTAACAGCGCACTGTTTCATCTAAAATAATGTTCTGGCTCTATTTGTAGGGGATGATGTTGATTTCATTTTGTTTATATGGGGCATTAACAACTTCTTTCCGGCTTAAATAAAAGTCTGTTCCTTTTAGCACACAAGGAGATGAGATGTGGAATACTAAAGAATCCAGGTGACTAAGAACTCTGCCAGCTCTCTTCTTTGCTGGAACTGCCTTGCTATAAATAATGTAAAAATAGGACGACCATCCTGTCTTTACTAGCATTACGTAACGGACCAAGAATCTGCGGCATTGATGATGCTGGAAAATAACAAGGAGAAAAATGACAACGTTTGGGTTTGTATCCTGTTCTTTGTAGCTGTAAGAAAACATATAACAAGTTTGAAAAGGGAAAATGTACCACAATAGAATAATGCAGCGACTGCGGCTGACACTGTGAAAGTCCCTTTATTTTCTCCTTGGCATTATATACATTCCTGATGTGTAAGTGTGGGATGTGTGCTTTAAGAACTGGAAGTCTGTAGTACTACAGTTTGCTCATTGCTGCTCTTTTCTTTTTATGTATATTTTTACATCTGTTGTGTTATGTATTTTACCAACATCAACTGAATTTAGTATTCTGCGTGAATTACAGAGCTAGATTACAGAAAATTATTTACACTACAGTTACTTTTGTACTGGAAGTGCTTATTTTTTCGTAGTCTTTTTTTAAGTTGTTGTATTTCCCTCAAAGGAATTGAAGAGGAACTGAATGTCAGTCTGCTAGAAATTGCAGGGAATATAGGTTTACTGTGAGTTGTTATGTGAAGATTAATTCAAAATCGAGCTGTAGGGGAACTAAGCAGTAGATGATGATTTACACTTTCAGTACCATAGACAATACTTTCAGTGCTACAGTGAACTGTAATAGATGAGCTAGTTTGGCATACTGTATTAAATTTTGCCATGCACAATGTCTATACAAGCACAGAATTGATGACAGTACAAGTTAACTTGCTGTGTGAAAGTCTAAGAATGGATTAAATTTTCTGTTCTCCTCACTGCCTACTCTTCAGTGTTACTGAGTGAAGGATGTTACTAGGTTCTAAATAAAAACAGTCTGCTCTTCAGAGTTGTTTAATACCCACAAATCTTGCTGTTAATGGTGAAAATTCCAGATATGTTGGCAATTCTTAGAAATCAAACTACTATAATTTAGGAGCTTCAACACTAGTTTAGAGCTTGAATGTTCAAGTCTTCATATTTGAAGTTTACTGAATAGATTGCAACCAAAGAAGTCCACAAAATACCTGAAACTCTACTACGGCTCCAGTGCTTGGGATGGTCCAGAGACCCAAAGTATGTGATTTTCGTTTTAAATGTGGTGTAAAAAATAAGGTCTCCAAGATCTTCATACCAAAAGAATCTATTTTATATTGTATCGCAAATAAAGTCTAATGAAATCAGTTTCTTTTCTTCAGGCAGTTTTATTGAAAGTCGATGAAAAATCTCACGCATTGTAACATTGCAAGTTGTTTGAAGTTTGTCTTCACAACATCTATTTTTAACTTGAGAAGTTGGCTTTGTGCTCTGGCACAACCCAAGTAGTGGTTATTCCAGATGAGTGTACTTGGAGGGCTTCGAGAGCCAACTAGAAAGTGTGTGTTATTTGTTCTCAGATTTCTGATCATGATATATTATTTCTTGTTTTTCTTTTTTTCTTTTCCACCATTGTTCTCAGATCTTCCTTTTGCTTGTACAATATTCTTGATGGTTTGTATTTCGAAGGTTTTTAAAGTATGGCTGTAACTGAATACAGTTGAATTCTTCTGGTGTGACATTCTTAACATTATGCATTGAAATGTACAGTCTGTGTTCAATTAAATTATTGGCACGTGTAACAATTGTTTACAAATAAACTGCCGTAGGTAAAACCATGTGCAGAATCTTTCATGTGCAGTAGTTTGTGCACAGCAGTAAAATGTCACTCTGTCATTGTAGTATTCAAGACCACCTGATGTTATAAAAATATCTTTCTCATATACATGCATTCTTGCAGAAATGCAGTTTTATCAAGGGAAAACCATTTTTCTTGTAGTCTCTCCTGTACCCTGTACTTAGCCTCAAGAAGGGAAAGCATAACTCTTTATGTGGGTAGATAATGGCAGGACAAGAGAAAAATGTTTTAAGTTGAGGGAGGGAAGATTTAGGTTGGATGTCAGGGGGAAGTTCTTTACTATGAGAGTGGTGAGGTGCTGGAATAGGCTGCCCAGAGAGGCTGTGGATGCCCCATCCCTGGAGGTGTTCAAGGCCAGGTTGGATGGGGCCCTGGGCAGCCTGGTCTAGTATTAGATATGAGGGTTGGAGCTTGATGATCCTTGAGGTCCCTTCCAACTCAAGCCGTTCTATGATAAGAAGTTATGTATGCTGGCTCCACCTTCAGCCATAGCCTGCAGCGTTTAGATATTTTGAAACACAGTCATAGGTATTGTCTTACCCATTTTCCTTGACTGAAGACAGTTTTCAGCTTAAAGCAATTTCCTTTACTGTGCAACCTGACTTACACCCAGGTGATATCAGAGGCAAGTGATGTTGCACTGGAAGCTCTTTTTGATTTGTGTATATCTCTTGGGAGATATATATAACAAATATCCCAGAGGCGTTATACAGCTTCCACTTGTGGAGGTTTCCAAGAACAGGCAGGTTGAAGCCCTGACATACTTTACCTGAGCTCGTGGCTGACCCTGTTCTGAGCAGGAGGGTGGACTGCAGCCCTCCTGAGGCCTTTTTCAATCTCCTTTATTCTGTGTTCTCAATTACAAAATACAGGAAGCCATCTCATACACTGGCTTTTAAGTAGGGCCGAGTTGAGTACCTGAGGAGAAATGAGAGGTGCTGAGGGTGCAAGCCGACTGGGGAATAGGCAAGAGCAGAACTGTGACAGTACCCTGTGGCTTATCTTCCAGCTCATTGAACTCATCTAAGCCAGTGGCTGTACTGCTTTTATAACCAATGTATAAAAATGTAGAAAAAATGAATGATGGAGTTTCACTCCAGTAATTTTTAAAATTAGATCAAGTAGCTGTAAATACTCTGAAACGCATATGCACATTTACCTTTATATTCTAGTGTGAGTGATCATAGAATCACAGGATAGCCCGAGTTGGAAGGGACCCCCAAGGATCACTGTGTCCAACTCCCAGCTCTACGCAGCACCGCTAAAAGTTCAAACCAATATCTGAGAGCATTGTCCAAATCCTCCTTGAACTCAGCCATGCCCACCGCCCCCTGGTGCAGACCTGTCCCTGACCCCCACCCACCCCTTGGGCCCTGTTGGTGTCACACAGAGCAGAGCTCAGCGCTGCCCTCCGCTCCCTGTGAGGAGCTGCAGCCACCATCAGGCCTCCCCTCAGCTCTGCTCTGCACTGAGCAACCCATGGACCTCAGCTGCTCCTCACTCACCTTGCCCTCCATCTTCATACCCTTATGGCAGTGATAGAACAGGACTCAGCTAGTTGAGGTTTCCACACCCCATGTAGGTGCCACTATTTCTGCTATTGTCCTGACTTCAAGGACAGGCAGAGCCAGTGAAAAACAATGGATTTATTTTTCTTTCTTTTTTTTTTTTTAGAACATTTCTAAGCTAAGGCAATTTTACGTAATTGTCAGAGCTCTTCTTACCAGATTAAGAGATTCAAGAAAACAGACTTGGTTAAAATGTTACTTGCGGAATATCGTCTCACTGCTTATAAAACCAGCTGAATAATAGGACCAAGCCTTTGTCAAATATTGATTTGATGAATGACACTCGTCAGTTGTCATGCAGCTTGTTGGTACACAAAGTATCTCCACAAGCATTGTCACATATGAGAGTGTGTCTTAGTTTAAGCATTAGCTCGAGGTTGACTGAGACAAAAATGAGGTTGATTAATTATTTTGACTTATTTTGTCACTTCTGCATCTACTGCTAGAAAATACTATAAGCACGATCAGACTTCTCTGGGTCAGCCAGCTCATGTAAGATGGATACAACCACAGCAGTGCTGGTTGCCAGTGTGCTAGAGCTTGTGCTCTGGTGAGGCTGAACTACCCTGTGAGTGTCTGAACTTTGCTCAGCTTCATGCCACTACCTGCCAGCTCAGCTCAGATCTTGGGGAATTGCAACTCCCAAACCACCACTAGCTGCAGTTTGCTTTCCTTTCCTTTTTTTTTTTTTTTTAGAGTTTATAAGTTTGCCTTATCAGTTAGTGGGCAATATTAACAGTTTTAACTTAATTTCCATATGAAAGTTCTTAAAACATCATTTTCTCTGGCTAACAATCTGGTAATGTGGGCAAATGTTCTTTGTTTGTCCAATACTTCTCACTTTCTTCCTTGAGAGCTGATTTTACAGCTGTGCAGAATATGGCCTGAGGAGACTGAATAGATGTAGGTGATGAGCATGAAGGTTTATCCACAGTGACACACACATGGTAATGTTTCAGAAGAGGGGAGGAGATGCAGTGTTTTCGTGGCTATTCTTCAGAATGGATACATGTCAAATCCATTATCAAGCAGATGGCGTCATCTAAAATTGGAGTGCTCTGTATATTCATCTTCAGGCTGGCTGTATGGGGGTGAGGATGCTGTGTGGTATGAGTGAAGCAAGATGAAATGAAATGGAGCTACTTCTTCTGGACAGGATGATTTGGACACTCTCTTCTGACTCAGCTTACGAGTCACAGATTGAGAGGGAATGGCCTCAGGTTGTGGCCATAGGTTGGATATTAGGAAAAATTTCTCCGAAAGAGTGATTGAGCACTGGAATGGGCTGCCCGGGGAGGTGGTGGAGTCACTGCCCCTGGAAGTGTACAAGAAACATGGTGATGTGGTACTGAGGAATGGGGTTTAGTGGGCCATATTGGTGACCAGGTGGATAGTTGGGCTAAATGATCTTAGAAGTCTTTTCCAACCTTACTGATAGTACGATTTTATAATTCTATGATGAAAGCACTGTGTCAAAGCCTCTGGAATCAGCTGATGGAGCCTGCTGCTCCTGGGGCAGTTTGTTTTAAGCAAGGTATTGTAAATCCCTGTACAAAGCCAGCAGCCTCAAAGAGCTTGGCTTTGGCTACAAAGCCACTCCTGAGGGTGCACGAGTCAGCTTCTGGTTATGGAAAACAGTGGATCTGGATTCCAGTGATCTTGAATAGAAAGTGCTGTTTTACTGCACTGGGAATTTCATGGCCCCTGTGTATATGTGTAATGGACCACGTTTTTTTCCTGGAGCATAGAGATGTGTCTGCAGGACATGCACTCATCTGAACTATTACTTCATAAATGTATGCTCCTCTTTGCTGGAACTAATATAGATTATGTAAAGTGATGTGTGCTAAAGAAAGCAGCTCCGTGAGTATGGAAGCCTTGCAACTGGAGAAGAAAAATTAGCATCACATATAGAAAGTTATTTCTAGTCCTTGCTTGAGCTGGGCAGAACAGCTGCTTTGCTTATCAGGATACTGCCCTTCTCATGGTGCAAAACAAACTATTATTTTTATCATAAACCAATTTTTAACTCCTTGCCAGTGGCACCACTCTCTTGTTGCTACTGGAAAAGTACTGAGTGCTGCCTGGCAAGGTTTTAATAGGATGCAAACAGCAGGCAAGGCATATCCAAACCAACAGAGTGCACTCTTACATCAAAAAATGAAATGCTAATCTATTGTAGAGAAGCTCTTTCTGTCTGCGCTTCCCTGGCTAAGAGTGAGAGCAGCAACACAGAAACTCTTGTTTCTAGAAAAAAAAAAACATACTCTTGTTTTTTAAATTCATCCCTCTCCTCTCCTTCTCCTGGCAGAATCACCTGATGCAGGGGATGAAGGAGCTTGTTGGGAAGTTGTTCAGTTCCTGGTCTGCCTTGTTGCTTGGTCTTTGCAAGGACTACAGAGTAGAAGTGACTGCTCCTTTTCCTTGGCATGGTGCCTGGTCCCTTTGCATTGAAAGTTCTCCAAAAGTGGAGTCTCATCCCATGTCCAACCCCTTTGGACCATCCCAGGTGAGCAAAATGAGGCAGGGCTTCCTGCTGCTCTCATTGTGGCATTGGTCACATCACACAGCTGGCGGCACGGCGTGATGAGTTATCCCATGTCATTTGTGGACTGGTATCCCCCTGGGCTATAGGTTATACTTTGGCCTTTTTGTTTCTATTTTTCTGGGCTATTTCATTGGTGAGATGTAGGTAATATTTTGTGGGAGGGGGAGAGGGGAGAGATGGGGAAATGATTCATGCTGTGTAGGTATTACTAGACCCAAAGAAAAAGAAGTTGGGAGTAAATGCTCTCAGTAGATTTCCATTTGCTTGAGAAGAGCTCAGACAGATAGATTTCTTAAAATACATGAAGGATTACTTGGTTTGGTTAAACACTACATACTCTGCTGCTGAAGAAAGTTAGCATGATGAAGAAACTCGGCCTTTTGAAGACAGGTTATTCTGTACTGACTTCTGTGCAGGAGAGGTGAGTTTCGAGGGAAGAAGTGAGGGAAGAAGTCTGGCTGAAGTAGAATGGAAAGAATAGGTGGGACTGTGCAGCTATTTTTCTATCCAGGAGTTAAATGGCATCTCTGAAAGAGGATAATTCCTTCTCAAAGCTGAGTCATGTTTCTGGAACAGGGTTGCTTTCCATTTGGGATTAGGTGCCCACTTGGGGTCCTATACTGGTATATCAGAGCTGCCTGTCCCTCTGTCCTCATGTGGTCTCAGCTTTCATCTGCCTGAAGTGGGCTCTGTACTCAGTTATGGCTCCCAAGGTCTAAAAATAGCAGCTAATTTAATAGAACGCTTCAAACTGCCTGTCAAGTCTTACACTGGAAGCTAAAATGGCAGAAAATCTTCAAATGCTTCAACAAAGTTGTCAGTTGTGATCAAGTGTTTGGTTTATTTTATTTTGTGTGTGTTTAA